TGGGCCGGATCGGGGCCTGCAGGTCGTCCGCGCAGGGGATGCTCTGTGCGCGTCCTCAGTTGGTAAACTTTGAAAGAAAGAGAGCTAGAGCTGTGCCCGCCGGCTCTGTTGCCGAATCGCGGTGTGCGCGATCGCCAGGCTGCTGGACTGGACTTACCCCGAGTTCATGCTCTGCTCATCGCTTGCGAGGCGCGCCCTGGCGGGGCGCTCAGGCTGCAGACACTTGTCCGACCTGGGAGTTCCTGAACCCGCCCGACAGGTGTCCCGGGGCGGCCCTGCGGCGGCGGAGACCGGCAGAGTCACCGCGTCAGTCTGCTGTGAAGCGAACGGCCGTGTGGGAAAAGCTGCTTTCAACTGTGAAGTCGTCCTTCCTAGCCGGCGGGTCGGTATTGTTGCCGGAGCTTTTTAAGGAAGGTGGTCATGCCCTGAATGAATCACATATTGCACTTTTTAAAGCTGTAAACGGCACTTAGCTTCCAAGGAAAGCGAACTTGAGTGTTTTGCCCCAAGTGCACTGATGGTTTTACAGCCATCATAGGGACGTAGCTCTCTACGCTGGCATAATTGAAACGAAGACCTACAGAATGAAAACGATTTGAGAGCAAGGACTGATTTCACTGTTGTATTGGTGGCGTCTAGAGCTGTGCCTGTCACATCGTCAATGCCTAACTTTTGAATAGCTGATGCAGGAATACAGACAAAGACCTACCTAAACCGAGATGGTTTTTTCTGTCCCTTGAATACTTGGTCCCATTGGGTATTGAAAAGTGAATAGTCGTCATTTTGGTTGAATGGATTCAGAACCGTAAACGAAGGGAGGATCTTTGTTTATTGTAAAAACACTGCACATTGAGAATGTGGAAGTGGAGCCCGGCATGGTGGCGCACGCCTGTGATCCCAGAACTCTGGAGGCTGAGGCAGGAGGATTGATGTGAGTTCGAGACCAGCCTGGGCTACATAGCGAGTTCCAGGTCAGTCTCAACTACATAGTGAGACCCTGCCTCAAAAAAACAACAAAAAAAGGATGTGGAGGGGGAGGAAACATTAATCTTTTGCTCACTGTGAAAGTTAACTATACCTTCCCTTGGCACTTGGTATGTCTTTGCACGTTCACATGTTCACACACACACACACACACACACACACCTTTTATCACTATATCTTTTTCACTTAATATTGCCAGAAGTGTCTGTTTTAATGCAGATCTTCATAAAAATTAGAAGTGAATATAACATATTACTTTCCATGATATCATGGTAAACATTTTTTAATACAGTCCTTTGTGTCATGGTTATTATAATTGTTGTTATTGTTTCTATTTGCAATACAGGGATTGAATTCAGGGCCTTCACACTGAGTTACATACTCAAGCCTTACTCTTAGTCTTATTATATTTTATAGAGAGAGTTCCTCACTGAGTCTTAAATTGCCCAGGCCGGGCTTGAATTTAACATCCTCCTGCCTCAGCCTCCCAGAGTACTGGAATTAAAGGCATGTGCCACTGTACCCAGCTTATTGTTCCTTTTGGAATATAAGTAAATTTTCTGTATTAGAGTCAGGAACATTTTTAAAGCTCTTGGTAAATTTTGCAATTGATCTTCACCAAAAGGCCGAGAAGTGATTGATGACCTGTATTTTTCAATTGCGTTCAAAAAAGTTGGGCAGATTTATCCTCCCTCTAGAAATAAACGGCTTCCTGTTCCCTTTTCCCCTGTGAAATGTCTGGGTAACTCTTAGATAGATAGGGGAAGTATTATTAGCCGTGTTTTACAGAATTGAAAATTCACTCTTGGTGATGGCAGCAGCACCTAAGTCTCATAGTAAAAGTCAAGCTGTTCAAACATGGAACCTGTGTTTGTGTTATACTGCTCTGCCTCAAGTGGAATTCTTTGCTATAGGGAAAAAAGAACAAAGTCAGACTAAAACTATCAGATTCTGAGGCTTACTATGCTAAAGTAAATAAGACAGTACAGAAAGTATTGATGGAAATACAGACAACAAGAAAAGAAACATCTGTATGTGGACATATGGCCAAACGGTTTTAACAAGGTTTTACTTTATTTGTTTGTATTTGGTTGTGCTGGGGATGGAGCCCAACCCCTCTCACACACTAAGCTTATACCACTGAGCTGCATCCCCAATTGCTAATTGAAATTGACAGGCAAAAATGGTTTACTTAGGACTGTGTATTTGTGGTTACATCGTGTGCTGATACGTGTATAAATAGTGGAAGAGCTGAGTCTGACATATTTCGCATACTTTTTTGTGTGTGTTGAGAACACACAAATCTACTCTTAACTGTTTTCAAATGTGTACTGTATTGTTGTTAACTGCAGCTGCCGTGTTCTCTTGAACTTTTCATTCTGACTTAAATTTTGTGTCCTTTCACCGCGTCAGTCTCCCACCTCCTTCCCCGCTTCCCCTGTTCATCTCTGGCTCCCCCACTTTGCTCTTTGTTTCTGTGAGTTTCGCCTCTTCACACCCACATGCGGGTGAGGTTGTGCAGTTGTGTTTCTGTGCCTTATTTCACTAAGCGTAAGGTCCTCCGGGTTCATTCACGTTGTCCCAAATGACAGGATTTTCTTTTCTGAGGCTGACGGTCCTCATGGTGTACAGCTGGCATGTTTTCCTTATCTGTTCCTCTGTTGGTGGACATTTAGGTTGATGCCCTGTCTTCACTATTGTGAGTAGTGGACCTAGGAGTGCGGGTATCGCCAGTATCTGGTTTCGTCCCCTTTGGATATATACACAATATGGATGCTAGATCTGCTTTCACACGGTTTTCTTTTTTTGGTACTGGGGATCAAACTCAGGACCTTGTGCTCACAAGGCAGGCATGGGCACTACTGAGCTAAATCCCCAGCCCTCATACTATAATAGCTGCGCTAACTTATATCCACCTACAATACTGTTTATAAGGATTCTCTTTTCTCCACATCCTCACACCCTTATTTTTTCATTGTCTTTTTTGTAATAGGCATTTTAACTGTTGTGAGATAATATTTTACTGCTTTAATTTGGCATTTCCCTGATAATTAGTGATGTTGAACATATTTTTCATAATACAAGTTGAGCATTCGTAATATGAAAATCTGAAATTTGGAATACTCTAGCCTCTGAAATTTTTTTTTTTGGTACCAGGGATCAAACTCAGGTCCTTGCGCTTGCAAGGCAGGCGGAGGAGCCACTGAGCTAAATCCCTGCCCCTGAAACTTTTTAATGCTGACATGATACCACAAATGGAAATTACATACCATGAAACTTTTTCGTGCACATAATTATTAAAAATATGCGCAGACTGTATGTTATAAGACATAAAGGACTCTGTGTTTAGCTTTGGAGCTCATCCCCAGGCTCCCGCGGTATGTACAGTGTGTGCAGATGTTACAGTGTCGGAGGAAAGCCTGAAATTCAAATCACTTTCTGTCCCAAGCATGTGGATAAAGTCGTTGTATGTTTTTTGAGAAATGTCTCTCAGGCCCTTTGCCCTGTCTTTAATTGGGCTGTTTTCTTACCTGTTGGATTTTTAAAAATGCTGTGTGTTCTTTGGGGCAGGAGCTTTAACTAGTTGGCTTATAACTGTTACATGAATTAATTTCTGTTCAAAAAAGTATTTGCAGTAGCTTGTAACTGTACAGTATGTTTGTTAAAAATAACAAAGGTTGAGAAGGAAAATAGATGTACAATAGTAAGATACCTGAAGAAAATTAATAAATTGGAGCTTATTAGAAACTACTTCAGGGCCAGGGATTTGGCTCAGTGGTTCCACCGACTGCCATGCAAGCACAAGGACCCGAGTTCGATCCCCGGTACCCCCCAAAAAAGAAACTACTTCATATTATTGTTAAATCATAAAATCAGCTTTGAGTTCCTAGTGATCAAAGCAAAGAAGGAAATGTAATTAATGCCTGACTTATAATGTCCTTTAAAACAAAGAACATTGGAATTGGGTGTGGTGGCGCATGCCTGCAATCCCAGCCCTGTCTGGAGTCTCAGGCAGGAGGATGTCCATGAGTCTGGGGCCAGCCTAGGCTATATAGTGAGTTCAAATCCAGCCTGAACTGCATAGAAAGACTTGTCTCTACAAACAAACCAAAAACGGGAGAGCAGTGCAGGCTGTTTTAATCACTGACCACCCAAGTTTTTTTTAGCAGTTTCCTACTCAGATTCAGGATCGGTGTTCTGGGTCGTGGGTGAAGCAGCAGCACAGCCGCGCACACTGCCACAGTGCAGGTCGCTAAGGTCGGTTTGCAGGATTCCAGAGCAGTGGGGCCTTGGATTCTGACTCCATCCGTGGATGATCACTCTGGTGCTAGGGACAGAACTTGGCCTTTTGCATGCGAAGTGTACAAGTGACCACTGAGCTGTTCCCTCAGCCCTGTGTTTACATTTCGTGGCCTTTTGTGAATAGTTCCTAGATTTGGCTTTTGAGAGAAATTATGTAGCAGGTAGTTTGAGGGTGATCTAAGGGCATGCAAGGCAGTGTTTTATATGGCCCTTTAAAGACAGATTCATGTGCTTTAAAAAGTAATCCATGGGGCCAGGGATTCAGCTCAGTGGTTCTGCCACCTGCCTCGTAAGTGCAAGGACCCAAGTTCAATCCCAGTACCAAAAAAAAAAAAAAAAAAAAAAGAATTTTTATAGGTATAGATGAAGCAAGGGAAACAGAAGAGCTTATATGTTTTAATTGAGTAATAGTATGTAGTATTTATTAAGTAGAATCTGTGGCTTTTAAATAATAACTCTGCTCCAGTGCAGAAAGCGCCGACCATCCTGATTTAGACTTGACTGGGTTTTTCAACTTTGATGGTATAAACGTTTCAGCAGAAACCATACTTTGAATTTTGATCTTTTCCTAGGCCAGCACTATAAGCCATGCAGTACCATCTTTCACTTTTAACACAGTATTCATATGAGCTATTCGATACTTTATTTTTATTTTTTGAGGTATTGGGAATTGGAATCCCTGGCTTCGTACATGCCAGGTAAGTGCTCTATCTCTGAGCTATATCTCTAACCATTTTTCTTTCTCTTTTGAGCTAAGGTCTCCCTGGCTTGCCCAGGTGGACCTTGAGTTTATGATTCTCCTGACTCAGCCTGCCAGACCTCTGGAATTACAGACATGTCACTGTGTATGTCTCAACACTTTGCTTCAAAATATGCCTTATGTTAAGATGATTTCGCTGGGTGTGGTGGTGCACAGTTGTAATCCCAGTACTCTGGAGGCTGAGGCAGGAGGATCATGGAGAGTTTGAGGCCAGCCTGGTCTACAAAATGAGTTCAGGGCCGATCTGAACTACAAAGTGAGACCCTGTCTCATAAAAAGAGATGATTTTGCTCAACTATAGGCTAATGCAAATCTTCTGAGCACATTTAACCCATTTATGCAGCAGATTGCAATTTTTTGAATCTTTATGTGGAATTCATGTGTTTTACCTAGAAAAACTCATGGAACAAAAATTTAAAGAGAAAATTTTCTTTTGTTCCAGAAGGCATAAAAGGACGCAGGTAGGCGGGCCTAACCTATATTTGGTGGGTTAGGCCTGTGAAATGTGTTTTTGAATGAGTATTTTTAATTTATGGGCTTATTGGAAGTAATCCCACTACAGAGGAACATCTGTACAGCTTTTGCTGGTAAAAATCAGATCAGGATAATAACACAGTGTGAATGTTTACAGAAGGAATAAGGTGTTGGTATCCATACTCTAGAAGATACATGGAAAGCTAGTGTGGTGGCACATACCGTGCACAAGCACTTTGGAGGCTGAGGCAAAGCCAGCCTAGGCTACATAGCAAGACCCTGTCTCAGAAAACAAAAGCCAGGGGTTTAGCTCAGTGGTGCCACCGCCTGCCTCGTAAGCGGAAGATCCTGAGTTCAATCCCCAGTACCCAAAAAAACAAAACAAAAAGATAAAGATGTATTGATAGAAGGCATCTATGTAATGAGTGTCAAGCTAGATGAAATATCCCAGCAGTTGTCCTAGAACAGTCTTCAGGAAAATTTAACAGTAATAGACTCATGGGGAGATTGCATGAGTTAATATACTTTTCAGTTGCACATTGATTTTAAATCATTTGCAGATGATTTTCCAATAACTATAAAACAATATTTTGTCTTACAGGATGCGTAAGCACCTGATCTAACAAGTGGGACTTTGTAGAATTTATTAAAAGGCAGTAATTAATTTAAAAGTAAATAAATACCCACTTGTGGTAGTATGTACTTTCGATCCCAACACTGGAAGTCTGATCACAAGTTGGAACCCAGCCTGGGCAATTTAGCAAGACCTTGACTCTAAAAAATAAAACGGGGTAAGGCTGTAGCTCAGTGTGAAGGCCCCAGGCTCAATACCTAATACCACTGGAAACAGTTAATAACCAAAAAACCTAACTGTTCCATTATATGGAAGCCTAATAAGTGTCTGTAGGATCAACCGCGGCAGTGGTGCATGCCTGTAATTCAAGCTGTTTAGGCTGAGGCAAGAGAATCAAAGATTGAGGCCAGCCTGGGCAACATAGGGAGACCCTGTCCCACTCCACTACCGCCGCCTAATCTGCTAAGATCAGTTTCTGTGTCTGCTGAACAGAGAGAATCTTATTCCCTTTTAATTTGTGTCCAGGGCTTCATTTCTTTAGGGGAGAATTGCATAAGCTATAAGTACACTTAAGTTTACTGAAGCATGCCAAATTGTTTTCCAATATGGTTGTGTACAGTGCCAGTTTTCAGTTCTGTCAGCAGTCTATAGGTTTCTGATTCCTTTTGTGGATGTCTACCCTTAAAGAGATCAGAACTTAAAATTTTGTCTACCTGATGGGCTAATACCAAGATATTTTAACGTCTCTGAAAACTAGTGAGGCAGTGCAAATTCATGTTTCTAGTCTTTTCCTTTACAGCTTTCAAGATTTGTCTTTTCAAAATCATTTCCCAGCCGGGCGTGGTGGCGCATGCCTATATATCCCAGCCCTCGGGAGGCTGAGGCAGGAGGATCTCTGTGAATTCAAGACCAGCCTGGGCTATGTAGTGAGTTCCAGGTCAGTCTCAATTACATAGTGAGACCCTGTCTCCAAAAACAAACAAAATCATTTCCCTATAGTCTTCCCCCTCTTCCTCCCCTCCGCACCCGCTTATACTAAGCAGACACTCTGCTACTGAGCTGCAGCCTCGGTCCTTTGTAGTTTTGCATAAGTCTCACTCTTTTGTCTAGGCTGACCTGCAATTTGAGATCCTCCTGCCTCAGTCTTCTGAGTAGTGGGATTACAGGGGTGTACCCCCCACACCTGGCTCATCCTGTGCTCTCCTTTATGTTGTCATTTAACTTGGTTTTTTTGCATATATATTTGGGAAACCAGAAGTTAACTTTAAAGGATTAGTTAGATTCAGGTTCAATTTTGAGGTGGTCCAGAGACAAAGAGTACTTACGTAGGTAGTGCTGGTTCTTTATATGAAATCACTTCAGGAAGCACATAATATGTGGGTGTTTCTCCCACCTCTAGCAGTAGTAACATTGAATTTGTGGAATTCACTTGGGTTGTTTCATAATAAAATTTTGATCTAATATTTGTCTGCTGATGGTGATAATCCTGATTGTTTCCTTATATTTCTTAGCTGGGATTTTTTTAAACAGCTAACTGCCTCATCAACTATGGCTATTGTTATCCTGAAATAAAGTTGGTACAGGAAAGATAGGTGAAGTGATTTTTCTCTAATTTGTCAGAATTCAGCACCCTACCAGGAATGACCAAGCGTGTCAGTGTTGAAGATTTGAATATCGTTGGTCTGGTTTTTTTTTGGCGGGGGGGGGGGTGGGT